TGGACTGTGTGCATGTGAGTATACAGGTTTGCACCCCAGATGTGTGTGTGTGTGTGTGTGTGTGTGTGTGTGTGTACGGGTCTGCCTTCCTGGAGGTGTGTGAACTGGGTTGTGTATGTGTGTATATCCTCCTGTGTATGGCTGCGTGTATGTGTGTCCCAGCTGTGTGTCTGCCAGCCAGGCTGTGTGTATCCTCCTGTGTGTGTCTGCAGCCTGGTGTACTAGTGTGTGTCCTGACCCAGGGTGTCTGGATCCTGGTGGGAGTTGCCTCTGGTGGCAACACATTCCTGTCCTCAGAGGCTGCTGGGCGGCCTGGCTGGGATCACAGGTGGCAGCGCCCTGCCTTTTGCAGCAGAAGATAAAGGCCAGGAGACTCTCTGTAGGTTCTAACCCCCAGGGGGTGTTCATCTCCCACTGACCAGCGACTCACATGGCTCGAGACCAGTCTTCTTCCACCCCTTTTACTTAGGGTCCTTTGTGTCCCTCACCCCACCTTTTGCAGGACCAGCCCTGGGCCTTGAGATTCATAAACTGGCTCTTGGTTGGGCTGGGGGCTGCCCTTTGTTTCTGTCTTGGAGGTTTTGTGTTTCCGTCTGTCAGCTGTCCTTCTGTCTTTTACTCAGAGTGTCGGCTGGATGGACTGTTTGCTGAGGGAGGGTGAGGGTCAGGACGAGAGCTTGGACGGAAAGGCCGCGGGGTGGGCCTGGCTTCTGTTTAATAATCGCCGCCACCTTTGCCCTAAGAGTGAAGCTTGCCTATCCCAGGCCTCCCGGGGTGCTGGTCTCTAGGAGCCTCACACACAGGACCCTGTGAGACCTTCCTACTGTCTTGGCAGGGAGAATGTACAGTTCTGGTTCCCATTTTACAGATGAGGAAACTGACACTTGGAGATACTGGGTGACTCGTCTGGGTCCCATAGTCAGGAAGCATCAGGGTCCAGGGTTCCTGTGACTCTGGGGGTGATGAGGAGAGACAGATGCAGAGGAGGGCTGGGGCAAAGACGGGCCTGGTTCAGACCCTCCTCTTTTGAAAGCATCTACTGGGCCCCATTGGTCCTTCCTGAGGCTCTGGGGAGGCATCGGGTATGTGTGTGTGTGTGTGTGTGTGTGTGTGTACGGGTCTGCCTTCCTGGAGGTGTGTGAACTGGGTTGTGTATGTGTGTATATCCTCCTGTGTATGGCTGCGTGTATGTGTGTCCCAGCTGTGTGTCTGCCAGCCAGGCTGTGTGTATCCTCCTGTGTGTGTCTGCAGCCTGGTGTACTAGTGTGTGTCCTGACCCAGGGTGTCTGGATCCTGGTGGGAGTTGCCTCTGGTGGCAACACATTCCTGTCCTCAGAGGCTGCTGGGCGGCCTGGCTGGGATCACAGGTGGCAGCGCCCTGCCTTTTGCAGCAGAAGATAAAGGCCAGGAGACTCTCTGTAGGTTCTAACCCCCAGGGGGTGTTCATCTCCCACTGACCAGCGACTCACATGGCTCGAGACCAGTCTTCTTCCACCCCTTTTACTTAGGGTCCTTTGTGTCCCTCACCCCACCTTTTGCAGGACCAGCCCTGGGCCTTGAGATTCATAAACTGGCTCTTGGTTGGGCTGGGGGCTGCCCTTTGTTTCTGTCTTGGAGGTTTTGTGTTTCCGTCTGTCAGCTGTCCTTCTGTCTTTTACTCAGAGTGTCGGCTGGATGGACTGTTTGCTGAGGGAGGGTGAGGGTCAGGACGAGAGCTTGGACGGAAAGGCCGCGGGGAGGGCCTGGCTTCTGTTTAATAATCGCCGCCACCTTTGCCCTAAGAGTGAAGCTTGCCTATCCCAGGCCTCCCGGGGTGCTGGTCTCTAGGAGCCTCACACACAGGACCCTGTGAGACCTTCCTACTGTCTTGGCAGGGAGAATGTACAGTTCTGGTTCCCATTTTACAGATGAGGAAACTGACACTTGGAGATACTGGGTGACTCGTCTGGGTCCCATAGTCAGGAAGCATCAGGGTCCAGGGTTCCTGTGACTCTGGGGGTGATGAGGAGAGACAGATGCAGAGGAGGGCTGGGGCAAAGACGGGCCTGGTTCAGACCCTCCTCTTTTGAAAGCATCTACTGGGCCCCATTGGTCCTTCCTGAGGCTCTGGGGAGGCATCGGGTTTTACCCTCCCTACACCAATGCCCAGTGGGCCCTGCCCTCCTGCAGGCACACACTGGCAGGTATGGCCTTGCACATGCTCTAGACACTTCACAGACACTGCATAACCACACCTACCCCTGCCCACCTCTGCCTATGGCCTCTGAATCCTGCTTTCTGGTTTGTGGGTGTGCTCCTGAGTAGGCGCCTTGCCATAGGACCCCAGGTGGCCTCTCTGCAGGTCCAGCAGGAACAGGTTCAAGGTTGTGGTCTGGAAGAGAACAGAAGGCCTAGAGGCAGACGTTTAGACTGTGTTCCATTCCTGGAAAGACAGAGATAGGCACAGACACCCTGAGCCTGGGACCCAGGGAGTCACTTCTCCCCTTCAAACCCAGACCCAGAGACACCTTGAACTAGAAGGCTGCAGGCCGCAGGCCATACACATGCACACATGTGAAGACTGAAAACCTGAAGCCCAGCCGAACATGGTCATTGTCACTTCCCGGGCCCTTGCAGCGTGGGCCCTGGTGCCTGCAGCCCGGGGAGAAGAGGGAGGCAGCTGCTGGAGCCAGGGGTGGGGGGTGGGGCCGCGGGCCTCTCGGTCCAGCCGCCCACCTCTGCCTGAGCTCGCGGCCTGCCTGCTGCCCTGGGCCAGCCCGGGGTGGGGCCGCTGCCCTTGTGCTGCCTGCAGTGCCGGCCGTGACCGGGTCCCACACCCGCCTACCCCAGGTGGTGCAGAGGATCAAGGCCGTGGAGGGGCAGACGTGCCTGCTGGTGGTGGACAAGGAGACAGACGAGGAGCTCCGCCGGCGGCAGCTGACCTGCACCGAGGAGATGGCCCGGCGAGGGCTGCCACCGGCCCACGACCCCTGGGAGCCGAAGCCAGACTGGGCGCAAGCGGGCAGCCTCAGCTCTGAGGCCGCCCAGGAGGTACGGCGGGCTCTGCTCACAGGGACCACCCTGGCCTCATCTGCACCATCGTCTCGTCCTTCGCTGCCCCTCCGGGTCCCTATTCCGCCCCTGCTGATGACCTGCTTGGCTCCTTGGAGCCACCCTTTCTGCCCTCAGCCCATGGTCTCAGCCCGTGCGGCCCAGCAGCCTGGCCTTGGTTCCCGCCCCGTCTGGGCCTTCTACCCTGGGATGCTCATCAGAGCTGCTGTCCCAGGAAGGACAGGTCACTCTGATGAGCTGCCCTCTCCCTGGCCTGGGGGCTGAGGGACCTGGGGAGGGGCTGCTGGGGTGTCCCGGGACTGAGCATGCTCAGCTCTGTGCCTGTGTTGGGTGTCTGTCTGTCTGTCTGTCCGTATGAGGAGCCTGCTTGTGCTGTGACGGCCGTGGAGGGGCCTGGCCCTCCTCTGTAGTACTGAGAGGACTCTCCAGGCGGGGTCTGCTGGGGCTGGGGTACCTGCCCCTTGCTCACTGCCCCCTTCGGATTGGAAAAGTCAGCTGGGAAGCAGCTGGGGGGGAGATGTGGGGGCGGCCCAGTTCTGCCTCTTGCTGGGCAGCCAGGCCTAGGGGTGGCCTTGTTGGCATAGCACCTAGAGCTCTCCTGAGCCTGCTTGTCCAGACCTCCTGGAAGCCCCATGGGACTGCTTTCATGTCCTGCTACCTTCTTTTATTTTTAAAAGAAAAAAAAAAGTCTTAAAGGAGGATTCAAGCCAAGGGGTTCCCCAGGCCCCACTTTGAGAACCACTAGCCTAGGGCAGTTTCTGGGTGTCCAGGAGGCCCTGACACCTGTCCTTGCCCAGCTGTGTCCCTGGCAAGCTGCTGGGCCTGTGACCGGGGTGCTGGGGGCTTCAGGCTTCCCCTGGGGGGTAAGGGCTCTCCCGGTGGGGGGAGGGGGAGCCTGGGCACAGGCGTGGGCACGAAGCCCTGCCACCCTTTTTGTTCTCTGTGGCTCGAGGGCAGGCTGGGGGTTGGTTAGGGCCACAGTGCCAAGTCCTGGAGTCTGGACTTTGCCCCGGGGCCACTGAAGGCCACAGTAGGGGTTTAAGGGTCAGATCTGTGGTTTCAGGGGAGCCCTGGGACAGGGTGCTGGCTGAGCGCACCCCCACCTAAGAGCTGGAGCCTCCCTCCTTCCCAGGGCACCTCACCCCCAGGAGGAAGCGCCCTGGGCGTTTGTCCATTGACTTAGACACAAATGGCTGAGTTCACCTTCCTGTGGAAAAAGCTGCCCTCGGGCCTTATCTGGAGGATGGGGAGGCACCTTGTCCTTGGGTGGGACCTTCCCCCTCCACTATTTCAGGCTCTGGGGGCTGCAGGAAGCCCTAGGAGGGGTCTTCCGCTGGGTGTATTTTTAGAGGAACAAAGTGGGGCCCGTGTGGCAGGTCCCTCTGAGGTGGGGGCTGGCCTGGGGATGGGGCCCCAGGTCAGAAGAGTCCCTGAAGACAGGGTCTTGCGGTTTCCACCGCCCCCAGCACCGCCAACCAGTGAGCCGTGATTTAATTGGCTGAGTTCAGAGCACGGGAAGGAGGGGCGGGGGCTCTGCGACCTCCATAAACCAGGCTTAGCTTCTGCCCCTGTGGGTCGTCAGGGAGCCTGCGTGGACGATGCTCCTATACAGGGCTGCCCTGGTGGGACCTCGATGGCAGGGGGATCGGAGAACCTGGGAGAGATGGCGCAGCTTGCAGGACCAAGATGGTGGTTTGCCCTGAGGGAGGGAGGGCCCCTCTGGCTCTCGCAGCCTCAGTTTCCTCCCGTCCTGGGCAGGGGTGCGCGAGGTGGGGCGGGGGGATGCTGGTGTGGCGGGCCCTCCCCGCGGGGGGCTGTCAGGGCTGTCAGTGGTGACTCAGCCCTGCTTCGGGCTGCGCTGGGGTGGCTGCAGCTGCAGTGCATCTGATCCTGACGGTGGTGATGGGGGCCCGCCTCCATCAGAGATGGGGCGGCCGGCGGTGCCAGCCACGAGGGTGTGGCAGGCCCCAGGCCCACCTCCCCTCACACCCAGTTCTGGAGGCCTTCGGGGGAGTGAGGGGACAGGGTCCTGCAGGGCGTGCAGAGCCTACAGGCAGGCTTTGGGGGCCCCCTGGTTCCTGTTCCCTGCCCCCCGCCCCCCCAAGCTGCAGCAGGACTGCCTCTTGTTTGGCGGCCAGCGTACCCTCCTTGGCCTCCTGGCCTCCCCAGCCCTGGGTCCTGGGAGCAGGGCAGGGCCTCCCAGCAGTTTCCTTCCTTCCTTTCTTCGGACGGAAACCTGGCTGGTGGGGGGCGCCGGGCTGGAGCCTGAGCAGGGGAGGGGGACTCGGTCACCACCCTGTTCCCCAAAGTGACTCAGCCCTGTGTCCCACCCGTCCCTGGGGAGTCTGGGCCACAGTGGGAGGTGGATAAATGGGGTGGCAGCCCACGCTGGCCCGAGAGCTCAGGTCACTCCAGCTGGACGCTCTGCCCGACGCATCTGTCCCGACTCCCATGGCCCGCTCTGGGAACGCCGCACCATCTGCCCCGGCCCCGGGAACCCCTCCACAGAGCCCGTCTCGGGGTCTTGTGCAGGTCAGACGGGTTGGGGGGCGGGGTGGGCAGTGAGGTCATCAGCACCCAGCTTAGGTCTCTGGCACCCAGGCTTGGCAGAGGGGACCCTGGGCACCCTGGTGTGAGCAGGCTGGACTCTGAGCAACAATGGGGGCCTTTCTCTGCCCGGGCTGGTGAGTCACCATATGGGGGCTGTAGAGCCTGGCTCCAAGTTACCCCCAGGCCAGCCTCTTTGACTGGTCACAGGCAGGGCTGGGAGTCAAGCACTTGTCCAGCTCTGGGGCAGCCTGTTTGGGACTGGGGCTTGGAAGCCCCTGGAAGCCCAAGGGCCCAGCTGGGAGGCGGCAGGAAGAGTTCTGAGCCAGGCTGGAGCGAGGAATGTGAGCAATGCGCTGGGCCAGCCTGCACCTCCTCCCGGCCTGCTGTGCTGGGCCCCCCCGGGGCCTCCTGCTGGGTCCCCAGGCCACTGGCCTCATTCCCCGGCCACTGCAGCCCCCCAACTCGAGGGTCCAGTGCTGAGTCTGGCGCTCCTTGGACCCTGATCCTAATGTGAGGGATGTGGGTCAGATGTTAGTGGCGGGAGACGGCTGTCCTGGGTTGAGGCAGGGAGATGGCCAGTGTGGCCTCGAACCGGAAGTGACTGCATTCAGTCCGGCTTCATGGCCCCGGATGCCCCCTAGTCCTGCTTCCTGTTTGGGGCCCTTGAGAGACCTCAGCCTGGAACCATTGTCGAGGGCGTGGGAAGAGCCCCGGGGCCTGGTGCCGAGGGCTGTCTCTCTCACCACGGGTCACCGCAGGGGTCTGTGGAGCCTGTCTGCAAGCCTGTGTTTGGATGTCTGGTCTCTATGACCATGTGAGGCACCTCTGCCATCTGGGCCCGCATCCACCTACCTCGTGTGGTCACGTCACACGTCCAGGGTCCTATGTGGCCCTGGCCAGCCTCGGAACCTGTGGTCTGACAGCGTGAGCCTGAGAGTCACCTCAGAGCCACACACCTGTGCTTGCAGCTGTGTTTGGAGAGGGACCAGTCTGTGGGGTCCCGGAGAACCCGGGTGTTTGCCCGGCTGATCCCCTTGGAGGACTAAGGAGCAGGGGCAGCCCCAGCCCCTGGAATTTCTGGGGCAGATGGTGGTCTGCAGCAGGGGTTCCTGGGGGGCACGCTTTGGGGATCAGGGACGGGTGCCTGGAGGAGGGGCCCAGGCTGGACCGGAAGGTGTTCCCCACCGGTAGGAGGGCCCAGACGCTGGGGCGAGGTACCACCCTGTAAGGAAGGGCAGTCTTGGTCCCACAGTAGGGTGGCCACAGTCAGATCTGGGGGGCTTGGGGTGAGCTTGGAGGCCTGGAGGCTGGCCTTCCCAAGTGTGGCCCCCCGCCTGGCCCAGTGTCCCTGGCCACACACAGGGAGGTGGAAGGCCAGGCCCCGGTGAGCACCCCCGCCCCGCAGAGTCTCACCTGCACGCACACTTGAGCCCCAAGCGCTGGGGAAACCTGAGCTGCTGGCCGCCTGCTCCCTTCGGCCACCGCCATGTTAGACAGAATGCCGCAGCCACTGGCCACTTAGCGCTGGTCACTGCCTCAGGCCCTGGCGGGGTGGGGGTCCTGGGGTCTGGCCCCTGCCTGCACGGCCCCCCTGTATCCCCTGGCCCAGAGCCCGACTACAGGATGCCAGAGGTAAACGGAGGCAGGGCCCTGGGGTGTGGGTGGGCACCCTCAGGGCACCAGGAGGCCCTGGGGCCAGAGGGGCAGGTGGGAGGCAGGCTCCTCTGCTCGCTCACTGGGCTCCAGCCTGTGGGGGTGGGGGCCGCTCCAGCTGCTCTGGAATGTGAAGGCAAACACAGCCGCAGCCGCTGCCACCAGCCCCAGGGAGACCTGTGGGAGTGTCAACAAAGCTGGAGCCCTACCCCAGCAGCCCCACACTCAACGGGCAGGGCCACCCTCCTGGAACGGAGACGTGGGGCAGCTCACCTCGCCTGCTCCCTCCTCGTCTCGGGTCTGTGCCCGGCCCTAGCCTTGACCCAGTGGATTCTCCCAACCCTGCCGTAAGGCCTTTGATCCTATCACAGGTCCACTGGGGGTTTGGAAACTAAGACTTTGTCCAAGGTCCCAAAGTTGGATCATCACAGGTGGCCTAAGCCTCCCCATGCCCCAGGATGGGTCTCTGAGATGCGGGGCTGCGGTCAGGTGGGGGTATGAGGCCAAGTGCTGCCTTGGCAGCCGGCGGTGGGTATGGGCTGGAGGCCTCGGGGGTCAGCATCTCTCAGGTGGGAGGAGGTCAGAGCTGGAGCCTCAGTGCTGCCCCTGATGCCTGCAGGATGCCAACGGGCCCCTGAGGGAGCTGCGCCCAAGGCTTTGCCACCTGCGGAAGGGCCCCCAGGGCTATGGGTTTAACCTGCACAGTGACAAGTCCCGGCCCGGACAGTACATCCGCTCGGTGGACCCCGGCTCCCCTGCCGCCCACTCTGGCCTCCGTGCCCAGGACCGACTCATAGAGGTACCAGCCGCTGGGGCGGGGGGGAGCGGGCTGCCCCGCATGTACATAGCTGCACCTGCGTCCTGTGCGTGCCTGTGTCTGTGCCTGGGTTCTTCCGTGTGTGTGTGCGTGCCTACGTGCCTGTGTGTCCGTGTCCACGTGTATGTGTGTCTGGGTCCACGTCCCACATGTCTGTGCCTGCATGTTGTGTGTCCATGTGTATCTATCTGAGTGTGTGTGTGTCTGCACTGCGTGCCTGTGGGTGTGTCCGTGTCTATCGTGTGTGTGTGCCTGCGGGCCTGTGTGTCCATGTATATCTATGTGTGTGTGTGTCTGCACTGCGTGCCTGTGGGTGTGTCCGTGTCTGTGTGTGTGTGCCTGCGTGTTGTGTGTCCATGTGTACCTATCTGTGTGTGTGTGTGTCTGCACTGCGTGCCTGTGGGTGTGTTCGTGTGTATCTATCCACGTCTGTGTGTCTGGGCCCCGGGTCCTCTGCAGGAGGGAGATTCCGGGAACCTGAGCTGGTGCTCCTCTTGCTGCTGCGGCTGGTGACGGCGCTGATGAATATTTGATACCACACCTGGCCGGGTGGCTTGGGGGGCTGGTGGGGACCTGCCCGCAGGCAGCACTGACCCTGTGCTGGCGGCAGGTGAACGGGCAGAATGTGGAGGGGCTGCGCCATGCAGAGGTGGTCGCCAGCATCAAGGCACGGGAGGACGAGGCCCAGCTGCTGGTGGTGGACCCCGAGACGGATGAACACTTCAAGCGGCTGAGGGTCACACCCACCGAGGAGCATGTGGAAGGTGGGCGGCTGCCCTGGGGCTCAGGGCTGGGGTGAAGCACTGGGGGCCGAGTGGTCAGTTACACACTATCCCCACAGGCCCACTGCCATCGCCGGTCACCAACGGGACCAGCTCAGCCCAGGTGAGATGGTGGGAGTGGACAGGGTGGGCTCGGGGGACCACAGGGGCACCCCTGGGCATCCCCGGGCCTGACAGAGCCCCTCCTGAGACCTCGGTCCTGCTGTTGCGTGGCCGTGAGACAGCCCGGCCCTGTCACTCCCAGCTTTAAGGCTCCTTGGGCCCTGTCTGGGCCCAGCTACACCCCACCCCGCAGGGCACTCGGGCACCTCCAGGTTGCAGTAGAGGGTCAGTGCCAATTGCCAGATGCAAGAGTAAATGCAGCTCTGGTGTGTGCACGCGTGTGTGCACGCGTGTCCACGTGTGCACCTGGGTGTGCACAGTCTCCTGGGCGGGCCCCTGAAGCCACACCTCACCCTTGGTTTCCCAGCTCAATGGTGGCTCCGTGTGCTCGTCCCGAAGCGACCTGCCCGGCTTAGACAAGGACACTGAGGTAGTGGGTGCCCCTCCACCTCTAGTGCTGCTGCTCACATGCTGGGGGGCCTGAGGCCTTGGGGGCGGGCACCTGTGGCGCTGTCAGCCTGGGCCGTGAGGCCACCGCCTCTAGGAAGCCCTCCTGGGCCCGCCGCCAGGTGGCCTCTGGCGTGAGCTCCCTGGGAAGGGCCACCTGCATGGGGGCTGGGGTCCAGGGCTCACTGGCCACCCACCCGCCGTGTCCGCCCCTAGGACGGCAGCACATGGAAGCGAGACCCTTTTCAGGAGAGCGGCCTTCACCTGAGCCCCACGGCAGCCGAGGCCAAGGAGAAGGCGAGAGCCACCAGGGTCAACAAACGCGCACCACAGATGGACTGGAACCGGAAGCGCGAGATCTTCAGCAACTTCTGAGCCCCACTGCCTGCTCCCCGCCGGCTCCTCCCCACGGGCCTGGGCCTCGCCCTTCGGACTGCCCAGAGCGCCCCATGCCCCGGTGGACTGGAGGGGGCATCCTTCCCCCTAAGCTGGGGTGGTCCCACCACCACCCAGGAACCAGCACGTGCCCCCGGGAGCCCGTCCTGCCCCCCACCCGCGGGGTGCTAGGGGAGTGTGGCCGCAGGATGGGCAGAGGGAGCCCCTGAGATGTGAGAGACCCAGAGAGACAGTGAGGGGCAGGGGAAGAAGGAGGGGAGGGGCGGTGGTGACCCGCGGGCTGGCCGCCGTGCTGACTGCCTGGGCCTGCTGACTTACAGGAATTTGTGTTTTTGCCTTTTTTTTTTTTTTCCAGAAAGAGCTCTAGCTCCACATATGTTTCCACTTAATAGCAGAGCCCCGCCCCCACCCCCTCAGGACGTGCTCTCTAAATACTTGCAATAAAACAAACCTTTCTCTGCACACCATTTCCCCCCAACCCCCTCAGCAGCAGCCATCCCAAGTGGGAGTCCCAGGGACTGGGCTGGGGGCTCGCAGGCTTCAGGGCAGGGGCTGTGGGAGCTGCCCTCTGCCCTTTCCTTGGGTGGGCAGTCTGAGGACGGAGGCCCCGTGCCCCTGAGGAGGGCACCTCTGGACAAGCCCCTCGTCACTGCAAGGCAGCCCCCAGGAAGGATCCCAGGCTCCTGGGCTTGGCCCCTGCCGGGAGCCTCCCAGGAGAAACCCCGATCTGCCTTTCCCTCTGCCCAGATCCCGACCCACCGACCGACATTGCTGTCTGCCCTACAAGCCATAGCGCATGCGCGCCCTCTGAATAAACAGGCCTTCCCTGGACCCTGGCTGGCTGTCCTTCCTGAGCCTGCGTGTCGGGGGCTGGGGGGGCCATGGTCCGGGCAAGGAGGTGGCAGCCTGTGGCGCCCCAAGACCCAGCTGAGGCACACAGCCCCCTTCCTAAGCCTCCACTCCCCAGATCTATCTGCCTGGCCCCTCCCAGCGCACTGGGGACCCCTGTGCCTCGGAGCTCTGCCCTCCTGTCCCCAGACTGGGCCCTGGCCCTGGCCCCGGCCCCCTGTAGGAGCACACAGGTCAGGCCTCTGCCCTGTGTTGGCCCTCCTGGGCCTGCTGGCATCCAGTGAGGCCAGGTGGCTGTGTAAATACTGGGGGTGGGGCCTCAAGGTGGGGGCCAGGCTCTCGGGGCACAAGTTCAGGAGGGCGTGTTCCCAGGTCCCCAGCCAGCTGCTGAGGGAAGCAGCCGGCGTCCCCTGCAGGCTTCCAGACAGCTGGCTGCAGCTGGCTCCCACGACCCCCGCCCCCGCCCGCAGCCCAGATCGTCACGTCTCCATCCCAGGCTTCCAGGCCGCCCTGTTCCAGACACATGTGAGCATGGGTGTGCACACAGCTCACATGTGTGCTTTCCAGCCTGCCCCCCACCCCCGTCCCCGCCCCGGTACAACTCAGCCAGACCCTAACTACAAACAACCCCCAAGCTTTATTATAAACAGGCAACGGTTCCCCAGCAAAGGCACAGACAGTCACGTCTCCATCCCAGGCTTCCAGGCCGCCCTGTTCCAGACACATGTGAGCATGGGTGTGCACACAGCTCACATGTGTGCTTCCCAGCCTGCCCCCCACCCCCGTCCCCGCCCCGGTACAACTCAGCCAGACCCTAACTACAAACAACCCCCAAGCTTTATTATAAACAGGCAACGGCTCCCCAGCAAAGGCACAGACAGACAGTGGCCAGAGTGGCGCCGGGCAGAGGCCCCAGGCCCTCAGAGTCCCCGTGCAGCTGGGCACAGGGCCCGGTTGAGGCAGGCCTGGCAGCGTGGGTGGACGGGCAGGCAAGTCTGCTGGCCGAAGCCCACCAGCAGGCCGTTGATTTCGCGCCACAGTTCCCTGTGGGGGTGGGGGTCATCAGTGTGGAGTGTGGAAGGAGGCAGCCCACCTGAGGGGGCCCACCCCACCCCACCCTGGGGGTGGGCACACCTGGGCAGCCACTCCTCCAAGGCCCTGCGGGTGTCCTCTGGGGACCTGGTTGCCTTCTTGGTCCACCTGAGTCGGTTGGCAATTCTGTGCACGTGTGTGTCCACTGCTGCTTGGAAACGGGGCAGGGTGAACACTCGGCAGCCTCACTGGGCCAGACTGCCCACCCCTACCCGTGGCTCCCAATGTGGGTGGGTGGGGGGGTCCCCATGGCTCCTTCCCTCCCCACCCCCCCCAGCTTCTGAGGAGGGCCCAGAACTGCAAAGGTTGCCTGGGCCTGTGCCTGGGCAGGGGCTGGAGCCAGACCCAGAGGTCTTGGCCTTCAAAACAGGGTGCAGGCAGCAGTGCCTCCTGGCACTGGCTGTGAGTGCCAGGCTGGATGGCAGCAGCTCGGCCCGCAGAGACAGCACCTGCCACTATACCATCAGGGATGGAGCGGTGAGCGCTGCCAGGACAGCTGCAGCTGTCGTCCACCTGGCCGCAGCTCCTGCTCCCCTGACCGGCCACGCGGGGGGCTTGGCTGGGGCACCTGCTCGGTGGGGCCCCCTCCCCTCAACAGATGCAGTTCCTATCTCTTCCCCGTGTCGTGTCTGCCCAAGAGAAAGCGAGAAAGCGAGTTCCTGCTGCAGCTCACTTCTCTGCTGCTAATTGCTTGGAAAAAGGCTCAGCCTTCCCCCAACAGCTGTGACGGGCATCCTGGGGGCTCAGGGAGAGCAGGCGAATGGAGAAGTCACACCCTGGGGTCACCAAGGCTCGGCTTCTTTCTCTGTAACATGGAGGTGAGCGCTCCCGTAAGTCATCCAGGACTGCACCGCGCTGTGAGCCCCCCGGAGGGCCGGTCCAAGAGGACTCTGCACCTCTGGGCTGCTAATGGGAGCAAATGCTTCCCCTGCTTTGTGGCCCAGTTCAGAGAGGCCAAGTGCCTTGCCCAGGGTCACCTGGCTGGGAGGGTGCCCAGCTACTGGAGAGGGATGTGCCCCACCCCCGACAGGGTCGCCCTGCAGCTGGCTAGGTCCACGGACAACCGCGAAGCACACGGTTCTCACACTCCGCTGGCCCAGCTGAGGGCGGGCCCTCCCCCACAGACCCGCCCACCTGCTCCTGGACACGGGCAGCCGAGGACAGCCGCCAGGAGAAGCTCGAGTGTCTGCTGAACGGCTGGTAGCTGTGGGAGCCCAGTGGGGGTGGGGGCTCTGCCCTGGCCGGGCTCCTGAACATCAGGGCTTCTGAGCTCCTGCCGCAACGGGGGCGGGGCCCTCCTCCTCCCATAGGCAGTAGATGGAAGGGGTCCCCAGCCCAGGGGCAGGCTGCACCAGCTATGGGAGCCCTGGGGCATTCCCGACCGCCTCTCCTGGCTCCTCTGCACAAGACCCTGAGAAGCGCCAGGGTGGGGGCACACAACGGGTCATGGGTCAAGGCCTGGTTACCAGGCCGACTGGGCCTGTGCCGTGAGGCCTCAGAAGCCCCAACCTGCTGGGCAAAGATCTGAGGAGGCTGGCCCACTCCAACGCCAGGGTCTGTCTCCACTCAGAGCTCCTCCAGGGCCAGGATGCGCCACAAGGACCCAGGAGAGGAGTCCGGGGACTGACCACTCCCACCCACCTGGGGTCCCATCTCCCGTCTGTCCACGCTCATCCCAGAGTCTTGTGCTCTGGCCTCTCCCCTGCACCGCGGCTGGGCAGATGCTGTTCCTTCTGCCTGGAGTGCATTTCCTCCTCTTGGCCTGGCCAGCCCACCTTGCCACTCAGCTCTTGGATGATTTATCACCTCCTCAGGAAGTTCTCCAGACGCCCCAAACCAGGCTGGCTCCCGAGGTGTCCTGCACGCCCCGTCAGCATTTCTACTCTCGAGTGGGGAGCTGTCTGATGTCTCTCTTGCTCAGGCGGCACAGTCCCGAGTCGGCCGCAGGCCTCTCCCGGGGCTTAGCACAACCGCAGGTGCTCAGCAAACGGGAGCTCCTCCTGTCAGTACCTGTCTCTGGGTGGGGCGGCCTCGCTCCTGATCCTCTAGGCTGAGTTGTGAACGAGGAGACCTGAGCTGGGGATGTGGGGAACCTTGACAGCAGCCAGCAAGCCTGGAGCTGGCCACTCCCCCCTCGCATGTGCTCCACTCACCAATGCCTGACACGGTGCCCCAGGCCACCGCCATGGCCAAGTGCGCCATCTTGGGCCCGACGCCAGGCAGCGCCACCAGCTCTGCCACGGAGGCTGGGATGTCCCCACTGTAACGCTGCTGCAGAATCTCACTGGTCTGCTTGATGTACTTCACCTTGCTCTGAAAGATTGTGGGGGTGAGCCCTGGAGGTCAGGGGAATCACCTGACAGGGGAGGACGAGGCGCAGAGAAGACCCCCAGGGGCCCAGAGCTACCCATCACCGTCCAGGACACACTCAGAGGCACCTGCTTGCCAAGGGCAGCAGGAAGGCCAAGAGAGGCCCAGTGCAGGCCTGCCTACCTCCCACCTGCCTGGGCCCCAGGACAAGTGTGTGGAGTCTGGTTTGAGTCCCCCTGCACCATCACTCCTCACGGGAGACCGGGCAGGCTAAGAAGGGCCAGCCATGTCAGCAGCTGGGCTCAACAGCACCTGGGCCTTCAGGAAGGAAGGCTGGAGACTGGGGCTCCCCTGCCTGCCGCCAGGCCAGCAGGGCAGTTCCCATCCTGGGCCTGAGTGGATAGGGCTATTTAAAACCCATCTGACAAACTGCAGCCCAAGCCAGTGCCAAGGGGAAACAGCCCCGCCCACCTGCCACCTGGCCTGCTGCTGCTCCCAAGGGGAGGGGCCGTGCACTCCAGGGAGGCTCCGAGTCAACCAAGGGCTAAGTGGGTGGGCAGCCTTAGCAAGGAAGGGAAGGGCCAGGCAGCTGGGCAGGGAGGGGGAGGAAGGAAGGGGTGGGCTGCAAACAGGAAAGGCCAAGGAGCTCTGGGGTCTAGACTGAGGCCCCACCGCCCAGCCCCCTGTGGGTTGGTCAGAGAGACAAGGGCAGGCTGGGGCTCCAGGGGAAACTCACAGCCAGGGATACCTGCCTCGGCGACCCCCCACCCCCCACCCCACAGCTGCTCAGCCTCCTTGACACCTTTTGCAAGCCAGTGGCGCCCCCAGGCCTGCTGGCCACAGGCTGGCTCACCCTCCAGAAGCCCACAGGATAGATAAGCGCGCCCAGCGTGCTGTCGTCCATCTGCAGGATGCTGTCCACCGTCAGGCCCCGGGCCCGTAGCCGCTGCATGGCGCCCGCTGTCACCTGGTCCTTGGTCTGGCTGGAGAGCATCAGGGACAGCAGCACCTGGTACCTCCGCACCTGCTTGCACACGGACAGGCACTAGGGTGGTGGCGGGTCCTGGGTGCTCACCGTGGGCCAGGCCCCAGCCAAGCCCTTTACTCATCTCCACGTGTCACCCCGGGCCTGGCCAAGGGGGCTTGGGTGGTGTGTGGCTTAGGTCTGTTTCTCCACTTAGGAGGAAAATAACTGCACCTACTTTGCAAGATCACTGTGAGGCTTAAAGAACCACACCTGGCACGATGCCAGTGCTCAACTGCTCGGTTACTCTTTTTTTTTCCTTTGTTATTTTTTTGTTGTTTGTTTTTTTGCTTGGTTACTCTTGTTATCACTTCGCAAAGGATGCTGCGGTTCACTTTACAGACAAGCAAACTGAGGCCCAAGTCCAAGGCAGCAGACTTGGGATTGGAATCAGGTTGGTCTCAGGACCAGGCTCTGGGCCAGTGAAGTATAAGGAACTCCCTCTCTGAGCCAATGTCACCCAACACCCCTGATGTGCCAGCTGTCCCTGCTGAGAGGAAGCGAGTGTCTTGTTCAGAAGAGGTCACCAGCAGATGGGTCCCTGCCTACCTTTGGGGATGC